TATGTTTTTGTATCCTTTGCTCTTCGAATAGTATGTGGCACATAGTAAGTGCTTAATAAATGCTTTTTCATTCATTCATTCATTCATTCACATACCAGTTTGTTCAGCCAGGTCTTGATCAGTGGTAATCTACTTTCTTTCCAATTTTTTGCCACCACAGAATGTGATGCTATGTCTGTCATTTCTTTATTCTTTTTTTTGCCTTTTTTTTTGGTGTGTGTATAAGGCAATTGGGGTTAAGTGACTTGCCCAAGGTCACACAGCTAGTGAGGGTCAAGTGTCTGAGGTTGCATTTGAACTCAGGTCCTCCTGACTCCAAGACCGGAGCTTTATCCACTGCGCCACCTAGCTGCCCTTCTTCATTCTTTCTAACACATTTATTAAGAACCTACTGTGTTCAGAGGCACTAGGAGAGATCAAAAGTTTCTATGGGGCACAGCCCACACATGGAGCTTCCAGGCTTGTATGGGGATAAGACACCAGCGCAGATAACTATAATACTCTGTATTATATGAAAATGTATTCGAGGGTTCCAAAACTAAGTGCTGCATGGGGTCTGAGGAGGACAGTCATTATTACCTGGGAGGATCAGAAACTTCATGTAGGCAGTGACATCTGAGTTGGACTTTAAAGAAAGGCTAAGAATTCTGCAGGTGAAGTAGGGGATTGAGGACGTTTGCAGTATATGGAATATTGTGAGCAAAGGCATGGCGTTGAGAAGGCACAGGGTATGTTTGAAGGACTATATAATCATAGGATCACAGGTTCAAAGGCTAATAAATTTAGAAATGGAAGGAGCCTTAATGTTCAGCTAGTCTAATCCCTTAGGGCAGCTAGGTGGCGCCATAGTGCACAGAGTGCTAGGCCTGGAGTCAGGAAGACTCATCTTCCTGAGTTCAAATCTGGCCTCAGTAATTTACTAGCTGTGTGACTCTGGGCAAGTCACTTAACCCTGTTTGCCTCAGTTTTCTCATCTGTAAAATGAGCTGGAGAAGGAAATGGCAAACCACTGCAATGTCTCTGCCAAAGAAACCCCAGATTGGGGTCACGGAGAACTGGACGTGACTTTAACAACTGACCAGCAACAAAGTCCTCCCCCTCATTCAACAGATGAGGAGAATGGAGGCCCACAGAGGTTAAGTGATGTGCCCATGGTCACAGAGCTGTTAAGTGGCAGAGCTGGGAGTAAAACATAGGCTCCTGACTTCACGTCCATCCCATTTCCTACTCTAACATGCTGTGTTCTAATTTAGCTGGAGCTTAGATTACATGTCGGGGAGCAGTCAGCTGCAAAAGTAGGCTGGTGTCAGCTTGCAGAGGGCCTTGAAGGCCAAATTAGGGGGGCTGCTCACAGGCAGCGAGTCAGAGGACAGAGTGAAGGGAATTGGAGAGAACCTCACACATACTAGTCCACAGGGACAAAAAAAGTTGGTGACTCCAGGGCTCTCCTCAGTGTTTGACCAAAGAAATCAGTATACTTTTTCCTGGCTGTTACTGTGTCTGCTTTGGTTGGAGAAGTTTCAGAAAAGTCCTGGCCCTGGCGAGGCTGCTTTCTCCTTGCTTCCTGCCATCTCCAACTTGAGATTTCTTCTGGGCGGTCAGTGGCGCCAGCACAGGCAGGATTCATCTCTGGACCAGGCACAGATTCTACCCGAATAGCCCAGGCCATCTCAGAGCAATTCGCCTTTGGCTCACCTCTGGTTAGGCACTGTGTGAATCTGCAGACAGTGGGAGGTGGCAGCCAGAAAAACCAATTCAAAGGGGCGTCACATCCAGAATACAGAAAAGAACAGTCCTGCTGTCCACCCTGGTCAGACCACATCTGGTGTGCTCTGGACCTGACATCATAGGAAGTACATTCAGAAGCTGAAATACATCCAGGGAAGGATGTCCATAATGGTGAGAGGATTTGAAGCTGTCACGTAAGGAAATATTGAAGGAACTGGATATGTGTTGCCTGGAGAAAAGAGGGCTTGGGCTTTGAAGGGCTATCAAATAGAAGAGGGATTAAGCTTATTCTCCTTGGCCCGAGAAATTGGAAGTAGGACCAGTTTGTGTCTGAGGATGGGGATTGTTACAGGGAGGAAGACTTCGGCTGGCTTAATGTAAGGAAAAATATACTAACGCTTAGAACTGTCCAAAAGCAGAATGGGCTGCCTTGGGAAATAGTGAAATCCCCATTGTTCAAGTAAGGTAATATAAAGGAGATTCCTAGTCAGGGAAAAGTCAGCCTAGCAGACCTCCAGATGTTATGATGATCTTATATGTCCAAAACAAGGCCATGGAGAAATGCTCTTTTGCCATGCCTTTGGGCCTATTTACTCTAGTTGCCTTAAGGGCTTTGGAGTAGAAACATAATTATAGGATAGTCCATGCTGCTTTCATACGATGAGGAAAACAAGCCTAGGAGTCAGAAGTACTGGGCTTGGCATCTAGTAGGCCTTAATAAATGCTGACTGATTGATTGACCCAGTTCCAAGTCTGTCATTGATGGTAACATTGGATGATTCATTTGGTCTTCTGGGGCCCCATTTTCTCCACCCGCAAAATGGGACCACACTGTTTCCACTTGAAAGGGACATGACACGTTTTTGTACTTTGAATTCTTTGTAGGAAGGACTCTACGGCACTTAGTAATAGCATTGATGGTGATGATGTAGCCCTGTACAATTGACAAAGCACATTCTTCACACCAGTCTTAGGATACTGAGAATACGAGTATCGTTAGCTCCATCTTACTGAGGAGGAAAAGGAGGCTGATAAAGGTGAAGTGGTTTACCAGTGTCACCCAGCTAAGACATGGCAGTGTTTGGACTCAGAATCACAGAACCTGAGTGGCGAGGTTCCTCAGAGACCAGCTAGTCCAATAAGACTTCAGCAGGACTCCCCCTGCAGCAAAGCAGAGCTCAGCACTCATCCAGCCTACTCTTAGGAACCTGTGGGGCAGGCAGCCAGCCCAGGCCACCTTCCTGACATGGCAGAACCTCTCTTCAGCCCTCCCACAGGGCTCAGGATCCGGTCCTCTGGGGCCACGCAGAATGAATCTGGCTCCTCTTCTGTATGACAGCTCTGCAAATACTTTTCTTCTTCAGGCTAAGTATTAGAATTCCTTCAACAGATCCCCAGATTTCATGACATTAACATCCGTCACCATGCTGGTCACCATCCCCTGGATGTTCTCTAGCTGATCAATATCCTTCTAAAATGTGGTCACCAGTACCGATAATGTGCTCCGGGTGGAGGCTGACCAGCGCAACATCCCTCCTCTCATTATATGAGAGACTGTTAACCACCTGAAAGTCTCACAGGTGGGATTTGAACCCTGCTCCAAGTTCATTGTTCTTTGCTTTCTCCAAGAAGCCCTGCTTAGGTCTGCACTGTATGGCCTCTCCTAGAGGAACAAAGGTCACATTAGCTTTCGTGGATACTGTTTTGCACTCTTGACTTGAGTCAGCAGGCCCCAGATCTTCTGATGTTCAGACCCTCGGCTTTTTTTTCACCACGTCACTATTGGTTGACATGTAGCCCTGGAGAACAGCATCTGCCACTTTGCCCACACACTAGCTGAGAAGAGTTCTAGTCCATTAGCTCAAATTCTTACATGTGTTTTAGGAACTAAAGCTGGCTTTGGAGTGGAATGAAACCACAGCATTGCTCCTAGACGATCAATGCCAGAGCTTACATTGTAACTGCTTGTTCTTTCTGCCTCCTTCAAAGCACAGCCTCTGCATTTGGCCCGGCATTGGTACAGTGCCAGAGGGCCCCAGGTTTGCAATCAGAGGAACTGAGTTCAAATTCTGACTGGCTATGCTGCTTCTTACTTGTATGACCTCGAGCCAGGCACTCCTCCTCTCCCTGGAAGTCTGTTTCCTGTTTTGTAAAGTTAGGTGGATGGACTTTAAATTTTAACTTTAAGTCTCTCATAGGTTGAAATCTTGTGATCCTGGAACCATATTCAGAAATGGCAACTGACCTCAAATGACTGTCTGTTTTGGTCATTGGGGATCCCACTCCTGTTATTTTCTTACCAGAGGTTGTGATCACAAATGACTTTTGAAATGCAGCTGTGACCTGTCAGGGCTCTGGTAACTCCATTATGAGACTAGCATGACCCTGGCTCTGGCTTTAGAATGCAGTCATCTGAACACAATTAAGAGCAGTCCCTTTGTATGATCATCCAAAACCACTTGGGTTCTGTTTAGTTTTGTTTTGTTTTATAATGGAAAGGCCAGAATGAGTCTAATTAAGTAGATCGGAGGGCGTGAGCCACATGTCAGTGTGAAGACATTAAACAGTGAAGCAAAAGTTGTCTGGAAAAAAGTTCAGTTAGCTGCTCAGAAAGTTCGTTTTACTTGAGGGGTAGGTTGGCTTGTTCTCCCTGGTGTATGCCCCCCCTCCTTGGGAGCCCCCTCCCACATTTGGGGGAGTTATTACTTCCCTGTTCTACTCTGTCTGCTTAGCCTCTCGTAAGTGCCCTGCTTTTCTTCCCTTTGGTTTGATCTTTGGGGCTCAGCTGGGCCCTTGGACTTTTTTCTCCTTGTGTGAGGAACTGAACAGATGAGAGCTTCATTCTTGGTCATGCCTTTCTCTTCTTTTGTTGTTAGGCTTTTTGGGGGAAATGATCAAAGGTCCAGAAATGTTCAGGGTTGGTGCTTCTTACCCTATGACTCATTCAGTCTCAAGGAGGAAGCAAAGAGTCAGGAAGGAGATTCATGTGATTTTTTTGAGAGATTAATGATTATTGGAAATGTCTGTGCTAGGAGGTTTAGAACTCAGGTCTCCCAACTCTAAGTGTGAGGCTCTTAATGCTCTACTATGATGCCCCTGGCAGTGGTGTGCCAGAAGCAATGGGAGAAGGCCTAGGGCAGGAAGACAGCCCATGCTCAGTAATGCAGGAGTTGCGGTTGTTGTTAGCAGTAAGTTAATGGCTTGACTCTTTCCTCTCCTGTCTCTCCTAAGCTCTGCTCATTCATCCAAGAACTCTGCAACTTGCTTTCCAGATTCTGGTCCGGAGATTACCTGATGGCGCTGAAGTTCGAGGCCGGGTGGTGGAAACCGAGGCATACTTGGGAGCCGAGGATGAGGCAGCGCACTCAAGGGGAGGGAGGCAGACACCCCGCAACAAAGGCATGTTCATGAAGCCGGGGACCCTGTACGTGTACATCGTCTACGGGATGTACTTCTGCATGAACGTCTCCAGCCAAGGTGAGTGAGGCCAGGCCCGGTGACGGAGCTGGGCCCAGGCTGCAGAGCATCCGGGTGCTGAGCAAGGCGGTTCTGAGAGGGGTCAACCTTAGACCCTTTCCTTTCCTTCTTCCCAGAGAGAAGACGCCTCTGTTTGAGAGTTTCTAAAGGACACAGACTTCTCTAAATCTAGCTCCTTTCCTCAGCCAGCACTTCCACATTTCTTCCTTTAGCCTTAACCTCTGCTGAGAGGCAGCATGATTTAAAAAAAAAAATGGGTATCTTTTATCTTTACATTACCTCAGTTTCACATTTTATCTCTTTCCCCATTCTTCTCGGAGGGCTTACCTTTTTAATAAAGAATTTTTTAAGAGGAAGAAAAAGAAGTTTAGCAAAACCAACCAACATACTGGAAAAAGTCTGATGTTATAGGCAGTGTTCCACACCCCTGGCTCTCCACTTCTGCAGAGAACTCAGGGAAAGCGTCTTCTCTGGAAAGCAGCCCAATGTTGGGGAAAGCCTTTGTGATTCACTGCCTGTGTGACTGGAAGATCCTTCTCTCATCTGGAATAAAATGAAGGGGCTTGGACTTGGTGATCTCTAAGGCCCTTCCCAAGTACAAATCCAAGGATCTTAGGATCCTGTGAGTGCTCCTTCCCTAATTCTCTGTATGTCATTTCCCTTCTCCACCTGCTGTCTTTTAAGAAAAGACAGAGAGAAATCAGGAATGAATGTATCAAAAAATTCAAGCTGAGGAGAAAGAAGGAGTCAGACCTGGAGGCCCAGAGCTGGCTGAGTGGGGGTGGGCACAGCAGGGGCTTCAGTTCCCGTCCTTGAAACTGCTTCTGAGAGCTTCTTGGACCTTCCTGCAGGCCTCTGGGGCCCCAAGACTGTCAGAGTCACAGGGGCCTGGATCCACGGTTAAGCCCCTAGTGATAGGCCTGGGAAGGTCAGCACCTGAGAGCCCCTTGAAGTGTGTCTTAGCTAAATAAATATTGATTGATTAGGTAGTAAATAACCGAGAGGGAGCAGGGAAGCCTGGTTGCTCTGAATAGTATGGTTAAGTGCCTACCTAAGAAGTCTGGCCACAGGAACTAATGGTCCCTTTAAAAGCGTCCCTATAACTCTTACCCCCTCCATTCCCTACCCCAAGAAGTGGATTGTCTTTTGTTTTCCCTGTCACAGGCAGTTCTGTCTCCGGGCTGCCTTGAAGGGGCTGGCATTCTCTATATCGGAAATAGTCCAGCCTCAGCTCCCTTGCTTTCCTCCCAGATCTTGCCACTTGAAGAGTATGGAGGGAATTTCACTCCAGAATCTTAAGGATCAAATCCAGAGAGTTTGGAAAGGAAGGAGACAGGGTCTGCCAGGATAATAATGCCAGTTATAACAGCAGCTTCAGTCCAGGGTGTCTTCCCTTAGTCCATTGGTGTGCCTAGGCTTGTACGACATACCACGGAAGATATGGAAAAGAAGGCTTTTGCAATCAAGCAGCATACGCCCTTGTCTGAGAGAATGAATGAGCATGGAGCACTTACTATGGGCTGGGCACTGTGCTTGGGCTGAAGATACAAATACGAACAAGCGAGGTAGGCTCTGCCCTCAAGGAGCTTACATTCTAACAGGGAAAGGGAAGTGGTGGCCAGGGGGAGGGAAAGGTGAGCAGTTATAAGGAAGTTGACATGTTATTTCCAGGAATAGTAAAGTTGATTTGATTCCTCTTTTCAGAGCTAGAGTTGGGTAGGGTGGGAAGATAAATGCACGCTGTGGCATGGCGTGGAGATGCCCAGGAAGTGGCTGAATGCTAATCGGTCAGAACCCGGTATCCCAGGGGCCAGGGGAAGGAGGAGAAGAAGGCAGAAAAAGAAGATGCTGGGGGTACATGGTGAAAAAATGAAAAAGCATTTATTAAATATTTGTCGTGTGCCAGGTACTGGGCTAAATGCTGGGGATAACAAGATACAAAAAGGAATACAGTCCTTGTTCTCAAGGAACTTATGTTCTAACAAGGGAAGGTAATGCATCAAAGGCATTGGTGGTCGGGGAAGGGTGATTTGGTCTGAGTAGTCACTGGGATGTTGACTGGAGCCAAGGGGCAGGCAGTTGACTGACATGTCCTTTCCAGGAATAGTAAGTATACATGTCTCTAGCAATACCAGACAGATTGTGTATGATCAAGAACTAGCTGGAGAGGAGGGAAAGATGAATGAGGAAAGTTTCTTCTGGAAGGAGGTGGGTTTTGGAAATAATTTATTACTTTGTTCAGAGACACCAAGCTTCTTGACACCCAGAACCTCAGCCACCTTGGGAGAGTGACCAAGCCTTAAGCATGCCTCACTTGGAGGAAAAGGCCAAGGCCAAGACCCAGTGCCGCTGGCCTTTTCCCCTGACAACACCACTCCATGGAGACTGAGCATTCCAATTCATTTGCCTCCCGAACCATTGCTTCTATGTTTAGCAAACTCCCACCATCTGTTACTTTCCCTATCCTTCTATTGATTTCCAGCTGCCTGGGAGTAAACTATCCACAGCTTCTAGCTCCCATTGTCATCCCATCCTCACCATCCTTACCCACCCAAATTTCATTCCAACTGTTCCCCTACTTTTATTTCTTTTTTTTTTTAAATAAGTTTCTGTTGGTATTTTCTGCTTCTTACATCACCATAGTTATCTCAAGTATTTTTCCCCCTTCTCCTTCCTCTCCCGGGAAGCCATCCAATATGACAGATAGTATTTTTTTAAGAGAAGAAGAAAAAGCACAACAGATCAATACATTGAAAAATTCTGAAAACGTAGAATATGTAATTCTTGTGTACCTGTCACCTCTACCTTCTCATATCTCTTCATTTGAGTCCCATTTGATTTTTATGATTTTGTTACTTTTACTTTTGATTTTTCTGGTGTTATTGTTCTTTCCATTTGCATTGTTAAAGTGGCTGTGTATGTTGTGTTCTTGTCTCTGCTCACCTCACTTTGAATCAGTTCATATAGCTCTTTCTGTGCTTCTCTGTATTCACCACACATATCATTTTTTACAGTGTAGTAATATTCTATTACATTCATGTGCCTTCCCCAGTCGATGTGTGCCCCTACTTTTTCACTGTGCCCTCTGGAATTTCTGTTTTGTTATAAACAAACTTCCCTTCCTTCTGGATCTCTTCCCTTACTACTCCTTCTGTCTACTTGCTGTCATTGAAACCCAGCTTCTCCCAGATGGCACTGAATCCCTGGCTGTCATATCTACCACTGGCCCTGCAGTGGGAAGCAGAGAACTCCTTGCTCCCTGTTGCTATTTGTGGGCCCTCCCTTTGCCACTGTGACTCAGCAACTTTTCTCTTTTTAATTTCATTCTGTTAAAAACTTTAACCCTACTTAGCCAACAGAATAATCCCTACTATCAAGAAACTGATATTCTAAAGGAGGAAAAAACATGAATGCTATGTAAGCATAGCATAGATAGAATAAATATGGAGTAAATACAAGTTAAAAATGAGGTAGCCAGGGAGAAAAGATATTAGTAATTGAGGAGATCAAGAAAGTCTTTGTTTAGAATGTGATGTTTGGGCTAAGTCTTAAAGGAAGTGAAAGATTCTACCAGGTGGAAGTGAGGAGGGAGTTCATTCCAAGTATGGAGGACAACTAGTATGAAAGCATGGAGAAAAGAGTTGCCGTGCTGCATGTGAAGTAGAAAGAGAGGGCCAGGGTTGGACGATAGAGTACAGAATAGAAGAATACCATATGATAAAGTTGGAAAGGTAGTTTGGGGTCATGTTGTAAAGGACTCTTGGAGCTAAAGAGGTTACATTTGATCCTAGAGGCAATAGGAAGCCACTTGAGTTCATTCAGTGTGGGAGAGACATGGTCAGAGCTGAGCTTTAGGAAAATCACCTTAGGAGCTATGTAAAGGATGAATTGGAGTGGGGAGAGACATGAGAAGAGAGACCAATTAGGAGTCAGTCTAGCAATAGTCTAGGCAAGAGGTGATGAGGAGCTGAACTGAGGGGGTGACTGTGAATAGAGGGAAGGGGTGAGATTATAAGGAACGTAGAGATAAAAACAACGATATTTGGCAAAGGATAATATATGTGGGTTGAAGGATAGGTAAGAGCTAGTGACACTGGGGTTACAAACCTGGGAAACTGAAAGAAAGGTGATACTTTGGAAAGTTTGGTAGAGGTTTAGGTGTAGGGGATAGGGTGAGTTCTGTTTTGGACATGTTGGGTTTGAGACATCTCTGGGACATACAGTGGAAATATCCAGTAGGCAACTGGTGCATTGGGATGGGAAGTCAGGAGAGAGACTGGTACTAGATATACGGATCTTCATAGAGATGATAATTAAACCCACAAGGGCTTATGAGGCCACCCAAAGCAGGAATATAGAGAGAGAAGAGGACCCAGGATAGAGCCTTGGCTTATATAGTTAGAGGGCATGACATGGTTAATGAGTCATCAGAGGAAACCGAGATATGGTAGGAAGAGAATCAGGAGAGAGCGGTGTCATTAAAAGCTTAAAGGGGAGAGAATATCCAAGAAGAGAGGGTGGTCAGCAGTGTCAGAGGGTACAGGTTAAGAAGGATGACGTCTGAAAAAAAAAAGACAAAAAGATTTATCAATTAAGAGAGCTGGTAACTTTGGAGAGGGTGATTTCAGTCCAGTGATGAGGTCAAAAGTCAGATTGCAGCATCAAGGAGTGAGAGGAGAGGAAATGAAGGTAAAGAGTATAAATGACTTTTTGGAGGTTGGCTGAGAAAGAGAGGAGACACAGATAGTTTGAGGGGATAGTGGGATCTTGAGAGGATTTTTTAAGAATGGAGGAGACTTGGGTGTGTTTGTAGGCAGGAGAGGAATCAGTAGATAGGGAGAGATTGATGGTTAGAAAGGGAGAGGGAATGATTACTGCAGAAGACGGGAAAGAGATGTGATCAAAGACATGTATAAGAGGGGTTGGCCTTAGCAAAGAGAAGTGCCATTTCATTATAAGGGACTGGATAAGAGAAGAGATTGAAAGATAATGTCAGAGAG